TGTAAGGATTTTATTTTGCAACATGTATTTTGAAAATGTTTTACTTCTATTTATAAATATATGTGGCAAAATAAAATTTTGCATTAATTTTAGTGGGTCCATAAGTTTGAGTTGCTTTCCATATTTTTAATTTCCTTAAACAGTAAAATTCATAACCAGCTGAGGTGGAGAAGTTCATCTAAAGAAAAATTGTGCCTCCTAGCAGGAGTAAAACCTGTATCCATTTTTCCATCAGAAAAATGGTTTCTGTAATGGAAAAAGAGACATGGATTCAGAAAGTTAGGAAAACACAAAGTCACAAGTCATCATGCCCAAGGGTTTGAGAGTGCAGGCTCTGCTCAAACTAATGATCACACCAGATTATGCACTCTCTCCCAGAAATTGTAACTACAGTTCATTCAGCATAGTTGCAGTATTAACCACATGTAGGCTCTGTGGGTGTTGAACAAACATAAATGTGCCTGAAATTCATCAAGGAAGGCACCATTGTTTTTTTTGTTTTTGAATGAATGAATGAATTTCATCTTAACATCAAGAAACTATTAGATAACTTGAAAGGATCAGTATAAAAATAAGTAGACACAATGTCAATATTCTTCAATGAAACATGTTTAAATGAAGATATGCTGCCTATAAATACATATACAGGGTGCAATGGGTAAATTTTTGCCATTTCATATTCTTAATTTCACTCATGTGCATTGTTTGTTTTTGATTTTGTCGACTGTATGGTCAGTTGGGCACCATCTGTGAGAAAAAGAGCACCATGACGCAATTCACTCCACCAGAAATTTGGAAACAGCATACTATACTGCTTGGTATTCAAATCAGAAGCTACAATATGAACATTTCAGAATATTTGGGTGTCAGTGTGAGGACAGTGCAGAGGATTTGGAAAGAGTTGGATGAGTCTAATGGTGATTACGAAGGTGTTTAGAGTGATCATTAGTGATGGCAATTTTTATGCCTCCATTCATCTTCCCACAGGGCCTCAAACTCAACATGGAGTCTTACATCAAGTGCCGTAAGGAGGTAGGGCTGCTCTGGGTCAAGAGGGAGGCTACTGGAAGTCTCTATGTCTGGCAACAGGACTTTGCATCATGCCACACAAGCAGGAGAACCCAGTCATGGCTGTCAGACAATTTCTGCAACTACATCACTCCTTATATCTGGCTCACCTAACTCCACAGACTCGAAACCCCTTGATTATTATGTGTAGGGTGCAGTTGAGCAAAAGACTAACAAAACTCCTTGTAGCACCAAAGATGAACTGAAGGTAAGGATTATGGCAGCATTATCCAAAGAGACTGTCCAGAAGAGATGCAGGAAATTCCAAAGTCATTTGAGGCCATGGTTGAAGCCAATGGCTATTGTATTGAATAAATTGACTCTTTAGTATTTCAAGATATTTTTGTGTAATTTTGGTAAATGTTAAAATGATATGTCACTGCTATTTTATTTTTGTGTAATTTAGATGACAATTTTTCCATTGCACCCTGCATATATATATATATATATATATATATATATATATATATATATATATATATATATATGCAGATATGTTTATATTTAAATGCACACCAACATTTACCCAAAGAATTTTTAGCTGAACTGATTTTGTCAATTAAAATCAAATAGAAGGAATTTATTTAACTAATGGCCATAAAAATAGCTCACTTGGCCCACCTGGCTAGTTGAGTTTTATTCATTTCACAGTCTAATATAATCTAGTGGTCAGCTCAAAAAGTAGGCAACAAGGAATTTAAAATGCTAACAACATTTAGATCTCCTGCACCCACTGATGAACACAAAGGTTTCTTCTCATTCTTGTTCACTCAAAATTCACATACATAAAACAGTGTGTGTGTTTAGGGAATAGAAACCTGTGTTTTCAGTGTGATTTAACTATGATTTTAAAGAATTCACAGGTACTACACTCTGATCATTGGCACAAGGCTGGGGAAGAATACTTTAAGCATATAGATACTCTGACCCTAGGCCAATCCATATGTAAATAATCCAGTTATTTTTATGGATACTATGCTAGTAATCTTATAAGAAATACCTATAAAATATCAATTTTAGAGACAATTGATACAATTTCTTTTAAATATCAGTGAAGGCAATTGGAAGCAAACCGAACATATTTCACTCTGAGCATCACGTTATCACAATAAAAAAAATCCCATTACTTTTTGCTAATTTCCTTGAGTAACAAAAGTGTGCATTAACTGACAGCTTCATTACTAAATAAAACTAATGTTTCTGGTCTGTCATTACTCAACTCGAAATAATGTACAAACCCGTGTAAACTATAAAACTCACCTCTACCACCCCAATGTCAAATGTCACTATTTAGTGAAATAGTGATATTGGTGTTGCTAGTTAACCAATCAGGCTCCATCTTTCTTCAAGCAGGAAGCCAATCAAACTGTCATTTTTGGGGATGTTTTTTTTTGGCGGGGGGGGCGGATGCAAATAACCAATATTGTGTCTTTTGACATCTTTTTACATCATCTTATAATCCAACAAAAATCAAGCATTATGATGCAGTGTCATGTACAGATCTCACAAGTCATTAATAGTAAATTTAAGCTTTCACTCTTCCTTAAATATTTTGTGCCAAACCACACTAAAGGTAAGAACTCTTGGTGGAGCAGAGCTTGTCATATCAGTCAGAAAAATCATCAATTTTGAATTCAGCCTGTCAAAAGTATGATTGTATCAGGCTTGATTTCATCTGTTTCATCAATCATACAAATCATTCTAACAACATGAATCTATAAAACATATTAATAAAACAAGAATAGTTAGCAAAAGGGACATTCAAAGGTGTGAATTACACATCAGGGACATCAAAATCAAACAAGTGTGGAAATTCAACTATCTGGGCAGTGTAATAACATACAATGGAAAGTGTAACACAGAAAATGTACATATTCTTCTTTTATGTGCTGTGTCCCTTCAGAAGATGAGCAATCATGGTTCTCCACAACTTTTTATTTTTTGTAGCTCTAAGCAATGTTCATAACCCAGTGCTTGTTCTTTTACACAAGCTTATTATGTAGATTAGTCACTGTTTCTCTCTGCCTCTCTTGCCTTCAATGGTCCTATGAATGTTAAAGTTTCCAAACCTTCTTTCCTCATTATGCGTCCCAGAAATTTCAACTGTCACTTTCATATTCTAAGTGTCCTTTTTGTTTCCATTTTCCTTAAAACTTCCTCATTGCTTACATGTTTTATCCATCATATTCTCAGGATCCTTCTGTAGAACCACATTTCTGTTGCTTCCGAGTTTCTCTTCATCTATGAGGAAATTGTCCAGCATTGACTGCCAATTAGAAGGATTGATATTACATTGCAGTTCAGTCCTCTAATTTTTTGTTTATAATAACATTTCCTTGTTTCTTAATACTTTGCTTTGTTTCTGGAAGGCATCTTGTGCAATTTCAATGCATCTTCAGATTTCTGTGTCAGAATTTTCCATCATCTTTCCTAACACTCTCAAGATAATTAAATTTCCATAAATTCTTTTATTTTGACATCTCTAATTCATAGCTTGCATCTTTTGTTGGGCATAGGAACAACAAAAGATACTTTTTAGACATTGAGTATGGTACTAAGAGATCAAAAATAAAATTAGAAACAAAGAAGTGTGGCATGATAAAGAACAAATAGGAATCATCTTACTTATTATAAAACCCAGGTTGTGTGTGTGACTGTTTGTTTATATATTGGATCGGATTTCCTGCATTTTTCAACCGATTTAAAAAAAAAACTTCACAGGACTACATAAAATTACCTTGTGGTGGTTCTGACAGCCCCAAAAATTGGAAAAACACAATTGTTTTTGCACGAAATCAATTTGAAAACACAATTAAGAGGTATCGCGAGAATGAAAGGGAGACAACTCATATCGAGTTATACTTATTATAAAACCCAGGTTGTTTATTTGTGTGTTCGTTTATATATGGGATCGGATTTCCAACATTTTTCAACTGATTTCAACAAAACTTCACTTTTTTTTTTTGGGCCGGTGGTGTTTCTTATTGTTTTGCACACTTTTTTCTTTATTTTTACATTCAGAATGCTTTAAAAATTCCATTTACAAGACAATTGTTTATAATAAAATTCTATTCAATTAATAGACTCATAACGATTAAAACAATGTTTTTCTTTGAGTTTGGGTTTGACCAATTCGTAAAAAAAAAAAAACTAATTAAGACATGCGTGTCCATCAACCATAAACAATAATCATTGTCAATTTTATTTTTCAGTCTTTATGATGGTTGATACTTGATACTTGATCTATCTCTTACTGTTACATCCCCGGGCAACGCTGGGCTCTACTGCTAGTCATTTATAAATCTAACATGTTTCACTTTTATTAAAGCTTCATCAGAGAATGAGATATGGAGGAGAAAAAGAAAGTGTTGTTTGATTCTCGTATGCATTTGAGTTGTCAAGCAGCATTCATGTGTATAATTTGTTTGTAAGTGTATCATAATTCTAATTTGTCTATGCAGGATTCAGATGATATGTGTATGTGTATATGTCTAATAGGCATTATTTATTTTCAATGGCATGTTGATTTGGAAATGTTTTTATGTCAATGCCGCTTGTGATAGATGTTAGATTCTTTAAGAATGGTTTTAATAAAGGTTGATGATGAAATGTAATGTTTTAAATGTGTGTTTATAGTTGGTAAAAGATTTATTAGGATTGGCTCAACGTATTTTCAACTTAAAGAATTATGTTCTTTTTTAATTAGTGCGGCATTTGTAAAATCAAAGTTATGGCCAATTTTGTTCCTGTGTATTACAACTGAGTTTAAAAGGTTGTCCCAACATAAAAGAGTGCAAAACAGCTGTACGATGTCTACCCACAACAGCAAAACTAGATCAGTTAGTCAGAAATAAATAAAAAAAAGGACTTAAAGCAACCAAAATATAATCCTACTAACAAAGTTTGAGAATACATAGAGAGTGCATAGGGCTTATGGCCACATCACATTGAAATACTGGTTCCCGTACAATCACTGAAGTTAAGCAAGGTTGAATCTGGTTAGTATCTAGATGGGTGACTGCTTGGGAATACCAGGTGCTGTAAGCCTGGATGTGTGGACAGTGTAATGGTTAATGGCTTGGAATTGTTAATTGGAGAGTCATGTTCCAATTCCAGTCGGGTTCTTTATATTCACTTATACACAAATACCATTGGGAAAAGTATGACTCCACCTCTTCTCCCTCCAGCTATGGGTTAATTAGTAAGACTTTATTATCACCAAAAAAAATTCTCACAATCTAAAATTATTTCTTGGCTTTAAATAACCTGCAAATAGTTAATAATCTGTAGAAAATGAATCAATCAAAGAGAGGGTATGCGACAAATGCAGATAGAAATTACAAAGAAATGGTTGATAACTATCAAAAAGAGTTAAAGTTTTGGGGAAACATAATGAGGAAAGACAGCTTGGAGAAGTTAACATTCACAAGGCATATTTAAGGCAAGAGGAAATTGACAGTTAATGTAAAGAGAAAGTAAAAGGAGAAAATATTACTGACAATAAAAGACAGGAAGCTGTAGAGACACATAACCACTCATGTTCTGAAGGGACATTGCATGGAATGAGAGAGAGAGATAGAAAGTGAGAGAGAGAAGGAGAAAGTCTTGATCTCTGGAGACAGACATAGAACACTTTAACAGATGTTGAAAGGTTTTTTCCTTTTTAAAGTTGCAAATCAAACATTATTTTTGTAATAATTTTGATATTTTCATCATCATCATCATCATCATCATCATCATAATAATAATGATGATGATGCTTTATTTAACTTTCATTTTACAGTAAAAGTATTTTGAAGGATGACTTTCGGATGAAGTACTCCAAGCATGGTGAAAATCCTCACCTGCCCTTCTTTATTTCTCTGGTGAAAATTAAAATATATTAAGTGATGTTTTTCAGCAAACTTGGAGCTTCTGCCCACAAAAAATTGGAATGTCAAGAGGATGGTTTTTCCCTTAACACCACTATTATTTTAACTACCTTCACTCCTCTGCAATGTTTACTGTTTTAAAAAGTGTTGATTAGAATTGAAATAAAACTTAAACATATGAAAGTGAATTTATACAGTTTTGTTTTTCCTTTGTTATTGAGAATTTATAACAAAAATATTAAATACTATTTATTTATTAAATAGTTTATTGGAAAGGTTGGCAAAACATTGGCTAGTTGCCAATGGATTCAAACTTTATAAAAGGCACAGTGAAATAATGGATAGCAACTTGGATTGAGAAATCAGAGAGCCAAGTTCAAATTCCAGTCAATTCCATTACATTCACTTACGTGCTAATACCCTTGGGAAAGGTATGAAGCCTCTTCTTCCCCCCATAGCAGGACAGACCGGGTTCTATAGCCTTGGATGGCAACTGGTCTACCACAGAAAAAAATGCCAACTTACTGAACAAAAAAATCTGCCTCATCAGTCATGTATTGAAAGATACATGATTGCCTAAGTGTGTATCATGCATGTCACATAACTTACTGACTGACCCTTGGGAAAGGTATGAATCCTCTTTCCCCTCCCAGCTATGGGTAAATAGCAGGACAGACTGGGTTCTGTAGCATTGGATGGCAACTGGTCTATCGCAGAAAGAAATGGCAACTTACTGTAGAAAAAAATCTGCCTCGTCAGTCATTTGTTGAAAGATACATGATCACCTAAGCATGTATCACACATGGCACATAACTGACTGATTGACTTTCCAGTCGAATCCATTACATTCACTTATGTGCTAATATCTTTGGGAAAGGTAGGAATCCGCTTCTTCTCCCAGCTATGGGTAAATAGCAGGACAAGCCAGGTTCTCTAGCCTTGGATGGCAACTGGCCTACCGCAGAAAGAAATGGCAACCTACTGTGGGGAAAAAAATCTGCCTTGTCAGTCATGTATTGAAAGATACATGATCGCCTAAGCATGTATCACACACGGCACATAACTGATTGAAATAATAAGGGTTTGCTTATAGTTAGTTCACATATTTTAATAATTTAGTAAATGTTTATAAATAAAAAATTATTTTCATATTTATTTCTTTATAAATTGGTAAATGATAAATATTGCATTTCATTAGTTTTAATTGTATTAGATTTTTGAATGTTGTAAATATAAAATTATTCTTGTAATTAAACAATCTAATAAATAAATAGTGTTTAATATTTTTGTTGTAAATTCTCAAGAACCCAAAAAGCTAAATGTATAAATGCACTTTTATCATGTTTAGGTTTTATTACGATTCTAATCATTGCTTTTTAAAACAATAAACTGAGGAGTGAAGGTAGTTAAAATAATAGTGGTGTCAAAGAAAAAACTGTCATTTTGACACTTTTTTTTTTGTGGGCACAAAGTTCCAAGTTTACCAAAATAATGTAGATTTTTAACTTCTTCTTTGGGAAAGATATAAGTCTTATTCCTCATGGTTTTGTAGTTAGTTTAACAAACTATATAGTGATATGTAGAAAATGTTATAGAGTAAGAATTCTATTGGGGCTCGAGATTTCTGATTAACCAAGAATGGATGTCCAGATGACTTATAACACACAAACTCACCTTGTTGAGTGATGGTAAAAGAAATGATGAGGTAATGAAACTACAAAGTAACAAGAAAAGCTGGAGAGAAGTGTAAACCAGACAAATTTGGGGTCGCATGGAAAGTGGTCGACTGAAACTTAAAAATCATTAATTAGAAACAACAAGGGTCAAAGATTCTACTCTTCCTCTTTAGGGTTCTCAATATAAACCCTTCAATTAGGACCCTCAGAGAGTTGTGGCTCAGGGTCTAACAGACCTTATCAACAAACTCCTTAGTGACTGTTTGACTTCCCACGACTGCCAGAGAAAGTGTACAGCTAAAGAATTGTGGAGAATGAAGTAATTCTCACTTTAAGAATTTATGGCCAAGTTAAGGAGAAGGTAACTATTTTTGCTTGAAAGTTTGACACCACATTTCCCTGTCATCACCAACTGTGCTTTTCTTTTCCTAAAGCATGTTCTTCATTGTTTTAAAGAATAGTCTCTTACAAGTTAACTGACCAGTTGTAGTGCAATAAAATAAAACATATAAGCAGTGAAGGGTTTATTTAATTTTGTAATAAACCTATTGTGTTTATACATTTAAACAGACATTTCCCACCATTTTTGTGATCACCAGTTTTTATTTTCATATGATCAAGTACATTAAACTTGACCAATGTTTCAACCAACTTCACCAAGAAACTGTTTTCAGATCTAAAAATACACAATGCGGGTGAGCAAGGCAGCTGGTTGGTAAAGACCAGGTCACCAAGAGGAGTGACTTGTTATATTTCTAGCATGTACTCTTTGTGAGTTTTGGCACCTACTAACAAACTAGTTGACAAGTAGACAAACACTTCATTCATTGTATAGGAGGTAATGAAGGTAGAAATTGTTTATTTGCTTGTTGCAATTAAAAAAAAAAAATTGTGTACGTAAAAACCTATTAATTAGACTCAGAATTAATAAGAGACAATAGGAAATAACAAAGTCCATTTATGTATGTATAAACATAAATGGACTGGGACTGGGCACTTCAACGTGGTGTAATGGTTAACAAGCTTGTCTCACTAGATCAATGATTCCCAACGTGGGGTGCATGTCCTACCATTGGGGCATGGTAATATTTTGGAGGGGCATGCATAGGATGTGCACCCTTCGGCTTACTATACCAACATGACCTCAAATTTCATTTTGCTTTATTATTTCATGATTAAAATGATCAAAGTATATTAGTATAAGCTTTCATTCAAATATTTTATATATCTGCCTTTCAGTTCTCAATTATATGTTCTGAAACTATGTATATCTAAATGTCTTTTTGTTTTTTTAATCTTTCTCTTTCATGGACGCCATGGTCTTTGGAGGTTTGTTAAGAGATCAACAATGGCATTTAAGCTTCTTTCATGTGAATTGCAGTAAAATTTTGAATATGTAAGAATTAAATATTACAGGGGGGTGGAAGGGGCACCAGAATTTTAGAAATACCAAAGTGGGGCATGACCCCAAATCAGTTGGGAACCACTGCACTAGATCAATTACGATTGAAAAATAAATTTGATCCTCAATGGGTGCTCCATACTTTCTGCCTTGTGCCACATCTAACCTATGTTTAGAAAATCACCATAAATGAACTGGGACTGGGGAAAAATAAGATTTTTTTTAACCTTTTCTGATAATAAAACTAACAAATTATAGAACTGATAGAAACTCCATGTTATCTCTCTGCAATTTAAGAAGAGAACCTAATCCTTCATATGCTTTTAAAAGAATGATACTTTTTGATTATACCAGCAAACTAATTTAATACAATGATGTCTGTGCTAAACAGCAGCCATCTAAAACACTATAATTACAAGTGGGTGCTATTGTTCTAGATACACCCTGTTGCCAAAGTAAGTGTAAAACAGTAGAAAAACAACCTATTTATCATTAATGTTTTTACAAGTGTTAAATTATTTGCATCATTTTTTTTAGCAAAATAAAAAAAAAAGTTTATTAAATTCATTAAAGATAAATTTAGTTACAAAATATTAAAAAAATAAAATCATAAATTTATATTAATTGCTCTAGTTTGTATTTCTGGATTTAAAATTATTAAAATATTGAAAAAAAAAAGTGTCAATTTTCAGTTATATACTTAAACAAAAAAAAATGAAAAAAATAAAAGACTGGAGAGCTGGTGTAAATAAAAAAAAGATAACTACTTTAAAAAACAAACTAAAAAAGCAATAAGGAATTAATCTGATTATTGATTGATATACACTTAAAATATATTATGAAATGGACTAAGTCCAACAATTATTTTAATATGCTTTCTGTTTATACGTTATTTTTATAGATACAAATATTTAAGTAAATGCTCTGTATATAATAAACAGTATTAACAACATTTACTGACCTGAATGTCCAAGAAATCTCATAGAAAATATGTGTCCTCTGACAGGAATTGAACCTGTATCTTAAATACATCTAAAATACAATTATCTTTAATTAATGTTTATTGGCATGGACAATGAAACTAGTGAGTCAAGTTCTTAGTCTATCCCATTCACTTTTGTACTAATGCACTTGAGAAAGGCACAAACCCATTTCTCTTGACCCAGCTCAGGGTTCAATAAGAGGGTAGATTAGTCTCTATAACCTTGGATGGTAACCAGTTTAGGAGAAAGCCTACTCTGAATTAAAAAGTGTAGAGAAGATGTTATAATAGATATTCTCTCTGACAGATGTAATCTTGTCAAGAGAAGATAACTATGCAGTAGGTATAGCAATATTGCCTTTTATACAGTACCTCATTTACATAACACTACACCTCCCTGAATCTAAGAGGCTTTATACCTTTAGTTGATCTTTGACTTCTACAAACAACCGTGGGAGACATAATCTGTCACTCAGAGTGAGTCTCTTTAGTTCTTTTTATAGGAGTTCTCGTTCTTTAGTGATTCTCCTCATTTGAGTCATCATGATACCTTTGGTCACTCTCATACTCATTATTACTGGATACACTCATTCTCTCCTCCCTCTACTGTTCTTCATTTTCATATCTCTGGTGGTCTTCCTGATCACTCTCAATACTGGATTCATTCATCCTTTTTTGCATTATCTGTTCTTCTGCTTCCTCTTCCTTTTTCTTTTCCATAACTTCAAGCTCACTTGTGGTTCTAAATTGGACATTGTGAGCCATTATGCCTTGTTCCTTCTTTTTGTTAACACAGCTGTGTTTAATCCCTTTTGCACCACAAATTCACCTTTTCAGGACTTGAATCCTTGTCCTTTCTGTACCATACACTTTCATTAATTGCAAATGACATGGCAATCAGAGCTATTATTTGTCTTCCCATCAATACAAATGGGCTTTGTCTTCTGCCAGCATTTGGAATAGTAGTCTGGGTAAATAACTCTCTACATCATAAGCCACTGGAGAAAATGCTTTTAATCACATTTTTACCATTTGAATCATTCTCTCCACAATTCCATTTGACTGTGGGTGGTATGGTGGTGTTTTGTATGGAATGCAGCCAATACATTTTAACCATGTACATAAACTTTCTTCACAAAACTCAGGTGTATTGTTGGAGACCAAGGTTTTTGGAACTCCATTTCTTGAAAACACTATCCTAAACACCTGCTTCACAGTAGTAGCTTTTCTATCTGTGACTTTAATAACTTCAGGCCAACCTGAATATGAGACAACTAATATCAGAAATAGTCCTATACCTTTAATGTTGGCATGATCCATATGTACTAGTGTCCAAGAGAGAATTTTAGTTTGCCTAAATTTCTTTATTTCTGAACGTTTTGGGCATTTTTTAACATACTCTTATGCATTACTTGAATAGCTTGGCCACCATGCTTGCAACTTCAACCTCATTTGCATAGCCAGTATACCTCCATGTATATCATCATGCATGGCTTTAATTACTTCTTTTATCAAAGACTGTGGAGGTACTCCATTACATATAATTCTTTTTTCTATTGTTAATTTGTGTATTGATTCTTTATATGGCTTTCAGCAATTACTCCATGTATTTCGCTTTATTTTATCCATAATTCTATTCAACAGTGGATCCTGCCTAGTTCCCAACATAAGCCAATTTAAGGATAATATGTCCATTTCTATCCAGTGCAAAATTGTATCCTCACAATTTTCACCTGCTTCAACATCTTTACCCTCAAAATTTAACCAAGATAATGCATCCACATGTGACATAGTATTTCCTTTAATATATACACTGTCAAAGTTGAATGCCATAAGCTTAATTCCCCATCTTAATATTCTGGCAGATGTGACCTTTGGCAACTCTCTTCTGGGGTTGAATATAAGTTCTAAACACTTATGATTAGATTTTAATAGAAATTTCCTTCAATCAGCCTTAGCAAAATTAGCTCATCTTTGATAGACATTTGCTCTGAACCCATTCTTTCAAACACATAATATCTCGACACTTCTTTTAGTTGCTGTACATATTGCGTAATAGTTTCGTCCAGGCTACTTTTAAGAAATTTAGTTCCTTCCAATATGGCCAATCTTTTTTTGGTTGTATATTTGCTTTTATGATGACAGTAATTTCTTCATAGGCTAAATATAAAGATCATGACAGAGATTTTTTGTTATGACTGCACACAATGCTGAGGCCAAAAACAAATCTGTAACTTCATTTTCTTCTCCACTAACTTTGGTATCCTTTAACTTTTTTACTCTCGCTAACTCTGTGAAACACCTAAGCCAGGTTTCAATATATTCAGGATCCTCTATTGTGGTTAAGTAACCAAGTGGCAACACCATATTATGATAGGTATTCTCTCTGACAGATGTGGTCTCATCAAGAGAAGATAATTCTCCAGCAGGTATAGCGATAATGCCTTTTATACAGTACCTCATTTACATATCACTACAGAAGACAATGAGAAACTATTCCACTTGTTTTCCCAAATAAGTTATGGCAATTCACAGAAAAGGGAGTCTCTGGAGAGCCATAACTGGCTATGTCTTGAAAGAACATGAGATTTAAAAAAAAAAGTAGAATTGTGGATGTAGAAAATAGAACTTTTTCAATATTCTTGCTGAATAATGGCTGCCTTTGTAAAAAAGATGAATATTTATGTATATGTTTTCTGATTGATTACATTTACATTTTGATGATGATTAATTAAATAAAAATCTGTCATAATTAACAACCACATTAATCATTCAAATGTTTCCTGCCAAAAGGAATGTAAGACCAAAATAAATGACAAAAGATATTGAGGGAAGGTAATGATCTGGTACCATAACACAATTCAGTTTGTAAAAATCACTTCATAGTCTTGAAATATTAACTGCATTCTTATTTATGAAGTGAAATAGTGATGCACAAGATAGAATTACATCAAAACTTCATAATGGGATCAAATTCAATTAAAATTTCTCTGCTGCAGGATGTAATAGACATGTAAAATTGGTAGGCATTTTGATACTGTTAAAATTTGATTTCATAATATGTAGAAATAGAAATATCTAAAAATTCTAACCAAAACTGGTAAAATTTCAAATTGAGATCTGTGGCTGCTGTAATTCAGTGTCAAAATATCTATAATCTTGTCAGCCATATTTCCTAGGGACTTATTGTCTTCTATCGATGCTAAAACTGGTAATACATCTTTGTATATAGAACTACCAGAGGATAGCATCATCTTGATTTGTGCTGAATAAAAGTTTTAAATGTTGCAGAAGTTGAATAGGTTTTCTATTTATGAGCTTTTCTGTAATTAATAATTGCTGTAACTTTATTCGTTCTGAAATGGAGGATCATAAAATAATTTCTTTCTTCAACTTATTGTTTGGCAAAATGGCTGGTTGTTCCAGTATTAAATCTCTAACCCCTATTGCAATCTTGTAAGGAATGTAATATAAATATTTATGTGGAGGTCCATTTAGATTAATCGTGAGGGCCCTGAAATAATTTGGTAGAAGATTTTAGCATATAACAATCTTAGATAAAATGAATTCAACACATAAAGCAATAACAGTGTATAATAATGTTAGTTTTATGATTCAAATAAATTGAGATACAAAACCAGGTTTAGAGATACAGAAGATAATTATCTCCCTTTTGATCGGAAGACTTGACTAATATCTGAAGGGGCATATGAAAAGCCAATAGTGTTTGATATTCATTTATTGCTTATCTCACAATGGTGGTGAATGTATGATTCACTTGTAGTTTGGCTGGAAGATGGCGCAATCCTAAATAGGAACCTCAGACATATCACAGGCTGTATTGTCTCCCCATTGAATACATTACAAGAGCTTTTTTATTTGTTCCTTTCATAACTGCTTATTTTTTCTTTTCTTTTTTGTGAGTTTTAATATCTTTGTGTAGGGTAATTTATTATATAGATTTACAATTTATATGTAGATTTTTGTGCTATCTTTGCCTTGTGTTAAAATATCAGTGTCTTATTTTCTCAATTTTTGAAAGTTTATTTTTTATTTTACTTCACATTTAAGGACCAATATAAGCTTTTTCTCTTATTATCCAATGAGATAAAGTGGATAAATAATTACCATTATTTTGTATAAGAAAACATTTTTAACATTCCAGATAAAAATTACAATTTTATGTTTGACTTCTTCAAGTTTTTGATTATGCAGTTTTTTTATTTTTGTTTTTTTTGTAATCACTCAAAGTACATCATAAACAAGGGAGATAACTATCAACTTCTTTACCTGTACTATTTTAGTTTACAAAAGGTTTCGTAGGAATGCTCTCTTTTTGGATAGTGGGAGAACCCAGTGGGAATTACACTATTTTATAATGTAAGCAATAGTCAAAATCTACAAGGGCGTGTTGAAAAGTTCCCGGCCCAACTAAGCCCTTCCCCCAAAATTCTGATGTTTGGCCAAATTTTGGGAAGTAGGCTGGATCAAAAACTTTTCAGCAACTCCATGCAAAGTTTTTTTACTCCACTGGATTCTTGTTTCATTTATTTTTTTGATCTTTAAAATATTCTTTTCTCTATATGTTAGCATAAAGAGTTATTTGCAAAGAAAGAATATTATGAAAAATCCCGATCTGACGGCGAAAATTAATTTTTGTTAAAGCTATATTTTTTAATTAAAAATTTACTGAAAATAATAATGTGTACTTTCGCAACGAAAAGATTAAAATTTTAACTTTATTATAAATATTTTTACATGTTTGTATAATTTAAAATTTGTATACATAATTTTTTATATTCCTCCCCCTCCTCCCTAACTTACGACCAAGTAACGGAAGCATGCAGAGTTATCTTCTCTTGTTAATGGCAGTTTGTCATGTTGATATTTTTCAGAAGTAAAACTAGTTTTCCATTATCGATGATTTTTATTTCCTCAGATTTTTAGTGCGACTCAGCAATAATTCTTTGAATCTGCAGATCTGATAAAAAAAATTATACGATGCCTGGGGGATCAGTAAATGGTCGCCCATTTCGCGATTCACCAAACTCTTACAGTCGATGTGGAGTACCTTGTGGTCATCCGGACCGATATAGCACAAGTAGTGTGGTTCGCGTCGGGGTTACAGTTCGTCCTAAGGGAAGAGTTACTTTAGATGGACCCCTCGAAAATATAGAGACCGAAGGAGAACGTCAGTTAAAGCAACTTGCCAAAAGGCAGACGGAAACACAATTGAATCTCCAAGAACATATCTCCAGACACCGATCATTCACAGAAAAGGTGGTTTACAAACCAAAAACTGCCGAAGTAAAAGGAGTGAAGTCTTTGCAAGATTACAACAAAATCAGACAGCAGGTAACGCTTTTTCTTTTTACTAAAATGATAAAGGTTTTATTTAAAGTAAACACTTATTTCCAAGGGAAGTCTAGAATGGGGGGGGGGCATAAAACAGGGGCTATAATTCGCATGCACAAAAATGAAAGTAATTTTGATTAAAAAAGATATAATTTGTGATTGATTTTTTTAAAAAAGTGACTAACTCGAAGCAAACAGTAGTTGACTTGTTCAGATTTTGTAGGGATGTATGTTGTGATTTCACTGAAATAAACAAAACAGTGGTGATAAAATTGGGGGTCCAGACAAAATAGTGGAGATTGATGAAAACATTGATTGTAAGAAAAAAATCAAAAAAAAATCTGAATACTTCTTTTTCAACAATGGGTCTTAGGGGGAATTGAAAAAATCCTGAAGAATTTAAATTACTTTGCAGAATTTGTTCCTAATACATCGAGAAGCCGTCGTCTAAATATTGAACAAGGTTCTATGTTTACGATCATTTGTGATTATAGATCATCTTATAATGGGCTAAAAATGATCTAGTGTACTGTGTACATAATCAGAAAGTTAATTCATGAAAAGAAAATAATTTTGTTGATTTATTATTACAATTTTTTATTTAACATGGATTTTTTTTAGTTCATACTTAAACAATAGAGCTTCATCTAAAAAGCATTTTCCCCCCAAAAAAAAGGAATGGGAATATCTCTGAATTGAATATATATTTGTAAAAAAATCAAAAAATGTATTTGAAAATATAAACGATGTATATATAAATTTTTTAATTCTCGTGTTATGGCCCCGATTCTATCGTTTCCAAATAAAACTAAAATATTTTCCAACATTTAAGGGTGGAAATTTTCAAATGTTTAGTACACTTTTCTCAAATTACACAATATGAGTAAATTTCTATTGCTCAAAGCCAAAAAACTCCATCCTTAGAAATCATTTCCACAGATCGATATTTCTATGAATATCTGATTTTATTAATGCCAACTTCCATAAGTGATTTCTTACACTACTCACTACTTTTCATTTTTTTTTAACTGTTGTCAATAAATGTTTGATTTATTTATTTTTTTTACTTCAATCACTGTACTTTTTAAACACCTACCTCTTTTTTACAATGCTATTTCTATTTATAAATATTTTTTTTTTAAGTTTAACACCATCCTTTGGGGAAAGATTATAGGTAAATTTAGTGTTCTGAATAAAGAAGAGTTTCCAAAATGTTATGAATAGATGTAGTTCCGTATTTTAAATTAAATCGATTCCCCCTTTTTTTTTACTAGTATTGCGTTTGATCCTCTTTGGGTTGCTTTAGTGTAGTGATCCTGTGCCAGACTAGGCTAAACTTTGTAAATATCAAAGGATTAGTGCAAGAAACTTTCAAGCAGTATTGTTTTTATTCAATAACTTAACATAATTTAATTTCATTCAGTGACATTACCCTTTCCACCATCAAAATCTGTCCTTTACAAATACAGATGCAACATTTAATATTAATAACATATTTCAATGATAGATGTCGGGAGTAGAATAAGTTATGAGCATAAAGTGTAACTGGCATGCTAAGTTCAAATCACAACTTTGTTTTCTTCACCATCACCATGAGGATCAGTAGTTAGTCATTGCACAGTTGCATGCCTGATCAGTTCCTTCCAGATATCTGAGTTGAAAGCTAGAGGAGTACTTATTCATATATAGCATGTCGTAGGCAAGCAAATCTGTCAGAGACCATCCCAATCCAGGTCTAACCCATAGCTGATGTCCTCCGACTTGAAGGTTCATATTGGTCACAGATACATGGCCATTGATTCCATCAGGGGAACCTTCAGCCCCGATGACTGAAACCCTCTACCCAGCAATGTGATGTCATTATCACATTGGCTACCTACATAGCTATGGAGTCCAGTCTTCCCAATTGTGCTTGATGACTTGATCTCTACAAGAAGTTTCATCCATTTTGTTTACACTAACCTATCTTCCTCCAGTTCTTGCTTGGCAACCAGTTTAGAAAGAAAACTCTGAATTCAAACTCTCTTTAGGAGAAGAGAAAACTAAGGTGTAAACCCTATACAAATGTCTTGATGGCAAATGGATAGTATACTCAGTCATCTTCTAGCAACTCTTACAGCATCATCAGCACCAAAATATATTTGTTTACCCCTTTTCTTTCCACTTTATCAGTAATGCAGAAAGGGGCTCTTGATGCATGGACAGCTTAAGTTGTTCATAATTCCCACTCAGCCCCAAAACAGACAAATGTAATGCAATAATTTAATAATAGTTAAATGTGATTGATAAAGTGACGACACTTTCTTTCCAATTAGCAAGGGACTGAACTCACTTTGTGTTCAGTTTGCTTGGATCATGAATAAATCAAGTCAATGATTTTCAAATTATGTCTTTGCATTTTACAGAAGAAAAAGAAAATGAAACTCAAAAATAAATGCCACTGTCACACACTTTTTCAACTTTACTCCAAGAGGCTGTAGCCCAATACATCATACTATATTGGAATCAGATCAACTCTGTGAGCAAATTAAAACCATTCCAGGCCAGATCTGGACCTGAAATTTTGATTCCCATGTTTTCATTACTGAAAACTGCTTTTCGGCAATTTTTATATTTTTACGTGATTATTTGTGACAAATTTTTTTAACTTAGGAATAATCAAAATTAATTGCAAAATCCAACAAAAGTCACCCATGAAATAAAAATAATTGTTTCTACTGAAAGTAAGGACCTATGTATCTCAAATTGTCTTTAAATTAAGTGGCAGCAGAAGATTTATTGTTGATTTTTTAAAAGGTTAAATTTAAATATTAATGCAGTACTTAAATGCAGTGATCAATTTTGAGTTATTTTGTAGTTTATTGTTGCATCTACTCCTCCCTACCTATTGTGATAAAGACCCAATCAAGAGCCCTCCACGAGTGCTATCTTAAATGCTGTCCAATAGAGCGGCTTTTCAGTTAGTAATAAAAATAATACCAGAGCTGTGTTGTCATCTGCAAAATGTACACTATTTTGCTTCTGGAATAAAATTATTAGTTATACGTGGCTGCTAATGAACTCCAAATTCTCATCACATCTGTTAATTTATATTATAAAAAATAAATTCTTAGATTTATTCAAGACATTACAAATTTAAAGCAATAACATTTAATTCTACAATTATTCAAAATTTTAACAAAACATTTTAAGAGAACGTCTATATTTCTGAGATGAGGTATTATGTACATTATTTACATTATTCGGACTATTGTCCTCAGCTTTGTCGCCATATTTATCACGTTTCGGCCATTGTACACTCCGGCCTTCTTCAGGTGGTTGGAATGTCAAACTGAACCCTTTATTTCGCTCACTGGGGTACAAGAGGAGGAGGACAACAACACTCAGAAAACAGTATGCCTGCCTTATGTGAAGTGGTTATCAGAAAATACAAAGGATCTGCAGTCCATATAACATCAGGACAACCTTCAAAAGCTTGATGACACTTCGCAGATATCTCTCCCGAGTAAGACCCCCCCCTTAGAGGAGAACATGACTAAAGACTGTGTGTACGCTATCCTGTGCAGGTGCAGAAAAGAATATAAAGGAGAGACAGGCCGCCCCCTCAAGGTAAGGCTTCAAGAACACCAGAAAGCTGTAACATGAGGGGAGGTAGAAAAATCAGGCATGGCTGACCACATATGAAGAGAGAAGGGAGATCACCGCCCTCTGTGGTATCATGTTGAGATCATAGACAGGGAACACCATTGTAAAATTCGTAAACTTAAGGAATCAGCACATATTCTAGGCCACAAAAATCTCCTGAGCCAACCAAGCATAGAAATAAATACAATATGGGAACCAGTAATAAGGAGTGCCAGAGAAAAGCAATAACAACAAAAGTTGCAATATGAGCTCTGGTAAAAACATGTAATGATTAACAGAAAAAATGCAATATGAGCACTGGTAAAAATGGTTGCTGAAGACATTAGGTTTATAATACCCAGAAATTCATACCCAGATGTCCTCAAGGACACATGGCACAGTGGTTAAAGGCGTTGGTTAGATCCAGTGACAAGACCCAAAGATTGTGAGTTCCAAACCTGGTTAAGGCAGTGGAGAACTTTCAGAGGGAAAATTAACTAGAACAGTCTATCCCAGTGAGCGAAATAAAGGGTTCAGTTTGACATTCCAACCACCTGAAGAAGGCCGGAGCATACAACGGCCAAAACATTGTGATAAATATGGCAGATGAGGACTATAGTCCGAATAATGTAATTTTAAGAAAACTTGTAAAATGCTGCCTTGAAATTTAATAGAACATTTAATTCATTTGTGTGTTGGCATTTATCTATTTATTAACAAACTGGCAATCTAACAAAAAAATGGTGTGGTAAAAGTATGGTCTTTCCCTTGACACTGTTATTATTTTTAACTACCTTCCCTTCAATGTTTTATTATTTTAAAAAGTGATGATTAGAATTGTAATAAAGCCTAAACATATGAAAGTGAACTTATACATATTTTGTTCTTGAGAATTGACAATAAAAATAATAAAAACTATTTATTTAATAGATTATTTACAAAAATAATTTTATATTTACATTCTAAAAACTAATTGTATTAAAACTAATGCAATATTTATCTTTTAAAATTTATAGAGAAATAAATAAGAAAATTTATAAATTCACTTTCATATGTTAAGGTTTCATTAAAATCCTAATCATTGCATTTTTTAAACATTGCCAAGGAGTGAAGGTAGTTAAAATAATAGTGGTGTCAAGGGAAAAAAAATTGTCCTTTTGATGCATCTTTCTTTTGTGGGCACAAAGTTTAAAGATTGTCAACAAACTTATCTTCACAAAAAAGTTAACATCATCCTTAATTTACAAAAAGTTTTCAAAAGACAATATTCTTCTTCCCAAAAATATTGCTTTTCTTCTTTGCTTATCTTCACACTGACATTTGGACTGTCAAAGAAAACAAATACTTGTCTTTAGTTGAATATTTTTCTATGCATG